GCAGGCGGGAAGAGGGAGCACTAGGAGGGAGGAGGGATAACGCAGGTGGGAAGAGGGAGCACAGGAGCGGAGGGGGGAGGAGCATGCAGACAGGAAGAGGGAGCACTGCAGGGGCGAACGCAGGCGGGAAGAGGGAGCATGAGGGCGGATGGGGGAGGAGCATGCAGACAGGAAGAGGGAGCACTGCAGGGGAGAACGCAGGTGGGAAGAGGGAGCATGAGGGCGGATGGGGGAGGAGTGTGCAGGCGGGAAGAGGGAGCACTAGGAGGGAGGAGGGAGAACGCAGGTGGGAAGAGGGAGCACGAAGGTGGATGGGGGGTGAGAGCCAGCTGTGTGCCCAGCTCCTGCCAGCTGGCCTGCTGCGTGCCCGTGAGCCGCAAGGCTGTTGTGTGTGTGACCCCCTCCTGCCAGTCCTCCGGGTGCTGCCGGCCCTCCTGCCCCACCCTGGTCCTCAGGCCTGTTCCCTGGGGCACCCCTAACTGCAGCTGCAAATCACCCGGAGCGTGAGGTCTCCCGCCACATCTCATGACGGAATCCCCGACGGGGCCGCACTCCACAGACGCTAGAATCCCCACCTAGTGTCTTATCCATGAGAGCTCAGGAGCTATTAAAAATCCCTCTCTCTGCTCAGCGCTGTGTCTTTCTGTGAGTGTTCCCCAAAGCTGTTTCTCCCTGTCACCTGTCCCCTTGGACAAGCCGATGTCTGAGTACGAGTCCTGTCTTGGGTGGCCTCCTGGGGCGGTCACGCCCCTTGGCATGCTGGGGAGCCCCTCTGACAGAAGCGGCGACCAGGCCGTCAAACCCGACGGGGCCTCCCTTCCCAATTCAAGCGAGGACCTTCGTGCTGGGCTCCTCAGGGCCTAGAAACTGCGCAACAAGGGGTAAGGGATGGAGGGGGGGCACCGCCTGAGTGACCGCGGCTGCTCACAGTCACGTGCGGGCTTTCCAGAGCAAGGAGAGGAGCCTGGGGGCTCCATCGGTTAAGCGTCCGACTTCGGTTCAGGGCATGATCTCACGGTCTGTGAGTTCGAGCCCTGCGTCGAGCTCTGTGCTGACAGCTCAGAGGCTGGATCCTGCTTCGGATTCTGTGTCTCCCTCTCTCTCTGCCCCTCCCCTGCTCACGCTCTTTCTCTGTCTCAAAACCAAACGTTAAAAAAAGTATACTGCAAAAGAGGTTGCGCCAAAGAGCCAAGGTGACAGGGACACAGATTTCAGCTCAAAGAACAAAAAGTTCCCTAAAAGCCAGAGCTGCCCTGCAAAATACCAGGCACCTGGGGACCGTCCTGGCTTCCGGGCACCGAAGCCTTGAAGACGAGGTCTGTTTCTTCCACTCTCTCAATAACAGACAGAACTGCAATCAACCCACACGCCCATCAACAGGGATGGATAAACACCACGACAGTCACACGAATCAGCAGTTAGAGGACCGCGCTGTTTAGTCTCAGCAACACGGTGTTGGTGAGCAGAGTCGGGCAGAGAGCGCCCGCCACACGACTGTATCTAAGTGAGACTCTACGACAAGCTGAGCTACTTTACATGTTTAACGGCCAGAACACGGGCTGCTTCCGGGGGGTTCGGGTAAACTGACCAGGTGGCAGAGGACATTTGGGGAGGACCG